CATGTGGTGTTTTCAACATGTCAAATATTGCCAAGTGAAGTTCAAGAACAAACCTCCTATTTTCATAACAAGACAGCTGACAGACAGGCAGATGGCCTTCTACACTTTCCTTTTAGGCATCCACATAAAACCATTTATATTTTTACATAAATCTAACATGCTGGATGGAGAAAGTAAGACTATTAGGTGGTAATTTTTATAATAATTTCTGAGTTGGAACTTTTTTTAAAAAAAAATCCACAGAATAGAATAATGGCTCCTGACTTATAATTTAGATCATTTGGAGTTAATGAAAAAAAATATTGTCAAAAGAGAAAAAACATGTGAAGTATTTTTTCTTGCTTTTAAGCCTTTGAGTACAGGCAAGACAGGGGGACGAGCGGTCTGCCACCTCCAAGTGGTGTCCCCTGGATGCGCGAAGCCGTCAAACGCTGACCGTAACTGAGAGCAGACCCTCCGACGACAGGCCCACGCGACAGGCCGGCTGGAGTACTCAAATGCCGCATCAACATGGTGGAAACGTCCACTACAAAACACACGTCCAATGCTACCGCATTCGGGGGAACCGACGGGCGCAGGAGACCATTGGCCTGCGCCAAAAATCAATGAAATGGTCCACGCGGAAAGCACGGCGCACCTGCACCGTGTGAGAAAGCTATGGCGACTGCGTCCGGGTCCGATGCGCACAGAGACTACCCGATCCGTGTGAAAAAACGCAAGCGGGGAACAGAGGACTGCCAGACGCTCAAGGTGGCCACCTGGAATGTGGATTCGCTGACTGGACGCTCGACCGAGATCGTCAGGGCCATGCGGGACAGGAAGCTGGACATCTGCTGCCTCCAGGAAACTCGCTGGAAGGGCAACAAGGCTACGACTATAGACGGCTACAAGATCATATACACCAGCTGTAAGGAAAACCGCGGCGGTGTAGCTGTGGTTGTCAGTCCAAGCTGGCAAAGTTCCGTCGCAGAAGTTAAGCGCCTCACAGAACGACTGATGATAATCGTCGTAGCGACCGAGAGGCAGCGCCTACACATCTTGTCCGCCTACGCCCCTCAGACCGGATGTCATGAGGAGGAGAAGGATACCTTCTGGGAACTGCTCGACATCCAACTCAGGCAGATCCCACACGAAGATGACATCATCATCTCGGGCGACCTGAATGGTCATGTAGGGCGGGACAAAAACGGACACCAGTGCCACGGTGGGCACGGCACAGGCGATACGAATGAGAATGGCCAGAGGATCCTGGACTTTGCCGACTCCCATGATATGACCATCACGAATACCTGCTTCATTAGGCGAGAATCTCAACTCCTCACCTACCATAGCAGAAACGGGAGCCACCACACACAGATCGACTACATCATCGTACGACGAAGAGCCGCTAAAAACGTGCTCAACGCCAAGGTGTACCCGTACGAATCGAGCAGTCAGCACAGGCCGCTGATGGCGAAGATCAGGATCAGCAAGCCCAAGACCAGGATTGACAAAAGGAATGCAGACCAGCCACGAATCAAGTGGTGGAACCAGAAGAAGATGGCGGGACCCCTCATCAAACCGGAGCAGTTCCTGCAGATGGTCGACGGGCCACAGGAAGCGTGGTCCATGCTGAAGAGCACTGTTCACACTGCCGGCTGCCAACAGCTTGGTTGCACCAAGCCAGGACGGAGACGCATCGAACGAGATACATGGCTCTGGACACCGGAAGTACAAGATGCCGTACACCTGAAGAAACGGCTCTACAAGGCCTTTCTTCAGGACAAGACCAGCGAGAAGCTCTGCGAATACAAGGCGGCCAAAAAGGCAGCCAAGAAAGCAGTAGCGACAGCCAGAAGCTCCCACTACGATGACATCTACGAGAAGCTGAACACGCGAGAAGGCGAGAATGAGATCTACCGCCTAGCCAAAAGCAGACACAGGAAGACCCTGGACATTGACCAGTTTCATGGGATCAACGACGAAAGGGGAAATTTGATCGTCAACCCCAGAGACGCTGCGGAGAGGTGGCGGCAATACTTCGAGAAGATCTCCACCGAGGAGTTCCCACACCCACGAACCCCGCGAGGTGACCCAGTTGAAGGCCCAGTCTCAGGCATTTATGCCAGCGAGGTCGCCGACGCCATCAAGGCCATGAAAAACGGTAAGGCAACAGGACCAGACAACATCCCTGCCGACTTCTGGAAAAAGGCACTACCGGGCTCGGCATTGTGGCTGTGCGAGCTGTTCAACAACATCGTCTCCACGGGAAAAGTGCCACACGACTGGTACCGCAGCACCACTGTTCCGATCTGGAAGGGAAAGGGCAGCCCAGCGGACTGCTCCAACTACAGACCGGTCAGGTTACTGTCACACACTATGAAGATCTTTGAACGCGTCCTTGATAAGCGCATTCGGGACATCGTCGACATCAGCGTCAACCAGGCTGGATTCATCAAGAACTGCGGCACCACCGACGCCATCTTCGGTGTGCGGATGCTGATGGAGGCTCACAGAGAGAAGAAAATCCCGCTCCACACCGCCTTCCTAGACTTGGAAAAGGCCTTCGACCGAGTCCCGCACGATCTCATCTGGTACGCACTGCGAGATCACGGCGTGCCTGAGCTGCTCATACAATGGGTCCAACTCCTATACAGATGTCACAAAAGCCGTGTAAAAGCGGCAGCTGGGATATCAGAGGAGTTTAATATTACCGTCGGCGTACACCAGGGCTCTGCTCTCTCACCACTGCTGTTCATTCTGGTGATGGACACAATTACACACGACCTGTACACGCCCGCCCCATGGACGCTGCTCTACGCCGATGATGTGTTCCTGGCCAACCTGTGCAAGGCTGAACTCGAGCACCGAGTCCAACAGTGGCACGACCGCCTCGAGCAGTTCGGGCTCCGGCTGAACCTAAAGAAGTCCGAATACCTGACCACTGACAATGAAATGACAGGCTCCATCCACGTGAACGGGCAGGAGCTACCGCGCGCCTCCACCTTCAAGTACCTGGGAACTACTCTTGGGGAAGAAGGCCTACTACAAACTGAGGTGGCAGCCAGGATCAATGCAGCGTGGGGCAAATGGAAGTCCGTCACGGGCGTCCTCTGTGACAAGAAGATGCCGATGCGCCTGAAGGCGAAAATCTATAACTCTGTGGTGCGCCCCGTGGCCATATACGGCGCAGAGTGCTGGCCGACGACCAAAGAAGTCGAAAGCAGACTCCAGATAATGGAGATGCGAATGCTCCGATGGTCGGTAGGCCTCACCCTACTCGATCGCGTCAGGAACGAAGAAGTGCGTAGACGGTTCAACGTCGTGCCCATCCCCACGGTCATGAGGCAGTCCCGGCTACGACCTAAACAACGCTGGATGGACACGATCAAGGCCGATCTAGAGATCGCGAAGGCAGACCCGACACGCGTGGCAGACAGAGAGGTGTGGAAGCAGTACTCAAGGACATTAGCGGACCTCGCCCGAGCGCGAGACAAACGCTGAAGAAAAAGAAGAAGAAGAAGAAGAAGAAGAGTACAGGCAAGACAAACAGAGAAATAGCTTTGAAATATGTAACAAATAATGTATTGTTGCTACACTTCCAAATCAAATATCCTACCTTTGCCTAGAATTGTATACCTCATACCAAGAAGAAATTTTCTCTGAGGTTTGAACCTCAATCTTAGCTGCTTTTGATCTCTGCACTGGATTCTTCTTGTAAATAATATTTTAAACAATATTAGTCTTTAAAATTTGGGAACCACATTTTCTTAATTATTTTAATTGGAATTTTTATAGTTTTGAATCATAATACATTTATTAGTAGTATGTTTTATGAATCATATTGAATTCCTTAGCTATCAAATTGCTTTATACCATATAAACTCAAAAAATGTATCTTTTAATATTGGTTGTAAACTGTCTTGAAAGACTTAACCACGGAAGTGCAGAGAGTGAGACAGATTGGCTAATTTTTTCTCCCCACCATCAGAATTAGTGTTCCTACAGTTCAGGAGACCCAACGAAGTTATTTTGGTCTGTTTCCCGCTTCCTTAATTTCATATGCCTAGGTACACTGAGTTTAAGACTACTACTGGAATATATCTATGAAACTTGAAATTTCAACTTTATTATGGCCAACGGCCAAGTATAAAACAATAGAATGTCAAAGGTTTTTCAAAAGTCACCCAATAAAGAGGGAGAAACATACAAAATCAGTCAGAGTATAGTTGTCAACTGCCATAGGTAAAGGTAAAGGTTCCCATCGCACATATGTGCTAGTCATTTCTGGCTCTAGGGGGTGGTGCTCATCTCCGTTACAAAGTCGAAGAGCCAGCGCTGTCCAAAGATGTCTCCATGGTCATGTGGCCAGCATGACTAAACACTGAAGGCACACGGAACACTGTTACCTTCCCACCAAAGTGGTCCTTATTTTTCTACTTGCATTTTTACATTCTTTCGAACTGCTAGGTTGGCAGAAGCTGGGACAAGTAACGGGAGCTCACTCTGTTACGCGGTGCTAGGGATTCGAACTGCCGACTTTTCTGATCAACAAGCTCAGCATCTTAGCCACTGAGCCACCAATTGCCATAGCTGGCACTAATAATCAAAATAATAACATGTCAAAGCTATGAGAGCACATAATAGGCAAACTAATCTTAATTATTTAAATATTATGGCTCCCCATTTGAGTAGGCTATGGGCGGTTTACAGCCTCCTCAGAAAGATATTACATGAAAATAAAGGTGCATAGACTCAAAATAAAATTAGACCCATTATACAATTATCCTATCTAAAAAATATTAGGTGATGCATAAAATAAGGAAGTAATAGTTCATAAAGTGAATCTCAAAATCCAGACATAAAACAAAAGCATAAATATAAGAAGTGATTTACTATTTGAACCACTATAAATGCACAGATTTGCCATATGCTAAATAAAGTGGCAAAATGGATAGAAAATGGTTGCATAGCGTGACGTTTACTACAACAGCAATAATATTACCACATTGTAGACAAACCTGTCCAACAATAAGTTGGGGGCAAACAGCAGCTTTCCGGGATGCTCCATAGATCTCCACACTAGGCCAATCATCAATATCTCTAACCAGGCACATTCTAGTAGGTGAACTTGGTCATGGAGTGCTAAGTCCACAAAGCCTAAAAAAAAAGGAAAGGCAGGATTTATTCAGTAAAGAGAACAATTTATGAGAATTATGAGGTCTGCAAAGCTTTGGTTGACTCATTCAATTGCAGCAGGTTCATGTATTGAAACGAGAACCACTTTGACGTAGCGAATTGGATCAGGGGGCTGCAAATAATTGGTAAATATGGATGAAGACAAGACTGGCAATTTGACAAGTTGTTGCTTTTCTGCACTTTAAAAAAGTAGAGAAACAAATCATACATATTATCACAGAATCATAGGGTTGGAAACAGTACTGGGATTCCAATTTTTTTATTACCGGTTCTGTGGGCATGCCTTGGTGGGCATGGCAGTGGAAGGATCTCCATTCCCACCCCTCTCCAGGGGAAGATTACTGCAAAATCCCATTCCCTCCCCATCCCACTAACCTGCTTTCCAGCTCCGTTCTCCTATGCAGGACAACAAAAGAAGACCCAGTGGATCAGCTGGGACTCGGGAGGCAGAGAATAGATGGGGGCAGGGCCAGTCAGAGGTGGTATTTGCCGGTTCTCAGAACTACTCAAAATTTCTGCTACCGGTTCTCCAGAACTGGTCAGAACCTGCTGAATACCACCTCTGGTTGGAAAGAACTTTGGAAATCTTTCAGTCCAGCCTGCTGTTCAAGGCAGGAGACCTTATGCCATCCCAGTCAAATGGTTGCTCCTTTATTTTTGAAAACCTCCAGTGATGGAGAATCCACAACTCTGAATGGCAAGCTATTCCACTGATTAATTGTTCTCACGGTCAGAAAATGTCTCCTTTCTTCTGGATCTCTCTTTAACAAACTTCCATCCATTACTATTTGTCCTGCCCTCTTGTGCTTTGGAGAATAAGTTGATCCCTTCTCTATGATAGCCCTTCAAGTACTGGAAGACAGTTATCATGTTTTCCTTAATCTTTCCCTTTGATAGGCTGGACGTACCTAGCTCTCTCAACCGTTCATCATACGATTTCAGCTACAGACCCTTTATCATCTTTGTTGCTCTTCTCTGCACACTTTCCATGATTGTGATGTAAACATTAGAAGGCAATTTCCTGTTTTTATAATGGAACCTTAAATAAAATATGTAGTGGAATAATAGTACTTCTACATTTCAAAACTATTACGTTTTATAATGACTTGCTATTCTAAAATCTTAATCTTCCCTGTATTTGGAATCAAGCATGTATTATATGCAAACACCCAAGACTAACAAGTGCCCTACATGGAATTACGTTTGTAAGCATGTGCGCACATAAAAAATGTGCACCAAAGCAAACAAACAAAAATCCCCGTAACAATAAGGAAGCTCCAATCCAAAAAGAAATCCCTTAGGCAGAAAAACAAATTTGGTCATGTTGCCAACTTTAAAAGCTGATACAAAAATTTATGCCACCAGATAAAGACTGAATGCACCAATTATCACATTAAGCAAGAGGAAAACCTTCTATGCACCAATTCCACCTGCACTTTCTACAATTTTGTAAAAAACAAACAAAAAGACTCAAGATCCATCCCACCCCTGAAAGGACCTAACAGTAAAGACTGTAACGATGACACCATTAAAACCAACTTCTTTAACACATCCTTTGGCTCAGTCTTTGTAAACATCAGTGGATCATGCCCAATATTTGCTAGTCGAACCACAGACAACTATAATGATCTACTACATATAGATTTTACAGAAAATAATGTTGAAAAAGCACTACGCAATCTAAAGCCATCTCTATCTATTTGACTGGACGGAATATGTGCCTACTTCTTAAAAAAGCTATCCACTGCCATAGCAGAACCTTTAAGCATAATCTTTGAAAAATCTTTCAGGACCAGTTCCTTGCTAAACCTATGGTCACTAGCTACAGTCACCCCCATCTTCAAAGAGGGACACCCCAGCCTAGTTGAAAATTACAGGCCAATATCTTTATGCTGCATCACCTGTAAAGTCATGGAATCAATTATTAACCAATTCATTATCCTCCACTTAGAGACAAACAACCTACTCTTTAACAAACAATTTGGCTTCAGAAAAAAAATATCCTGTAATCTGTAACTCCTACACTGCAAAAATATATGGACTACACAACTTGACCAGGGCAAAGCAATTGACACTATTTACATAGACTTCTGTAAAGCCTTTGATTCAGTGGTGCACAACAAACTACTCCTAAAACTAAAATCTTTTTTTTTTGGGGGGGGGGGGGTAAATTTTATTTGACTTTTCACAAAGAAATACAAATAAAACATCTTTTTTGAAAGTAGCGTGATCCTGGGTTACATTTCTTCGCACAGGCACAAATTCAGTTTCATGCTCATTTTTATATTCTATTCCATATCTTATTACTATTTTACATTTTCTACATAGCTACTCCCCTCTTTTAATTTTCTCAATTTTATTTTAATTATCTCATCTCAATTCAAATTATTATATTTATACTTTTTGTCTGCCCTGTTTCAATTTCATATTATCTTTTCTCATTAAACAAAATTTCTCCTGTAGTTACTGATTGGAGTATGACGCCTTTATATCTTTTCCCTAGAGTTGTAACATTCAATATAATACATAACTTCCATTCGGATTCTGCTTGGTACTTTCTTAAAATACACACTGTATTCTTAAAAAAAAGAAAAAATTATAAATGTATATAATTAAAAAAACATTCCATTCCAATTCAATTCTATCATTAATATTAATATTCATTAAAGTCTTAACATCTTTAACATTACTTTTCAATTAAATATCATACTTCTATGGGAACAATTATAAGCTTTCCATAGTTAATTCCGCCCCCACACTTATATTTTATAAAACATTAACTAATTAAAATGTTCCCGTTCCTTCCTAATTCAATTTTCTCATTTATTTTATTTCACTTATTTTATTCACAAACGTTTCACTAAATTATACTAACTATTTTATCCCTCATTTTAATCATACATTGTTTCCAATTTTCTAAAGTTATTTCTATTACTAATATAACAATACAATCTTATGTACATTTACAGAATCCCTTTTTCAGTTATATTTTCACCCATTATCTCTAAATAGGTCATGTTTTTCTATATCTTGCTCCGGTCCTTTGTGACTTCTTTTCCTTTCCTTCTTCCCTCTCTTCTTCTCCCTCCCCTTTTTACCCCCTTGTCTCTCTACTTCTACTTCTCTCTTCTGTATTCCCCTCTTCTGTTGCTTTCCAATATTATACTTATTTTTCGAACTATTTTTATTTTCTTTGGTTGTTTTTTCAAGTCTTACATTTTTCATTCTCTTTCCCCCCTTTCCTTTTTCTTCCCCACATAGAATTACTTGTTCATTAAAGATGGCTTCTTCTTTGTCCCAGTCTTCTTGTTTTGCAGGCGTTTCTTGTTGTTTCTCATAGTTCCAAATCTCCATTCCTAAGAATTGAAAAATGAAGCCAAAAGAACCTCTCCCTTCTTGTGCATCCTCTTTGTACTTTTTAAGTTCCATTTTCCATTTTCAATTCATCCATTGTAAAAAAATTTAAACAACCACCTGATTGATTTTAGTCATTCAAATGCAATACACCAAGAATCCAAGGATCACCAAGGAATCCAAATACACCCAAGCTGTTTCTTTTTGCTTTTTTTTCTCACTTTCTCTTCCTGGGGTTTTACTATTTAGTTGCCAAGTTTAAAATGTATCTTTTAGAAGTCTTGTTGAAGTTTTACTGTAAATTCCTTTTAATTCCAGGCAGTCTCCTCCCCTTTTTCCAGATCCTGCCCTTTTATTCTTTTTCTCTCCTTTCCTACTTTTAAAAGCTTTTAAGTATCCAGAAATCTTTATTATCCCTTTGACATTTTATTTTATTTTCAGCTTAATTGCCTGTTAGTGTCAAAACGGATTTTTTTTTCCAATTTCTTATTTAAGTTTCTTAGCTGTCAGTATAGGGAAAGGGAGAGAAGAAAAAAACCCAGATCCTTTCCCTTTTCACTTTCCTTTGCTGCTTCAGAATCTTCTTTGGGAACAGTGTTACTTTTTTAAAAAATTTAAATTCCAGGGTACCTTAGTTGTTGATTGCAGTTTAACCCAGTCAGCCAAAACTTTCACTTCTTATCTTCCTCCTGCACATTCTTTTCTGGTCGAGTTCTTCTTTGGGGTGGCCATTTCTGACCACCGCTGCAACCACCTTTGGGAAAGGGAGTAATGGCCAGCTGAGGAGGAGAAATGTGGCTCTCCTCAACCCTGCTGGTGGTCTCCCCCCTCTTCTTCACCTCTACGGGGTGGCTTAGCCCCAAAACCAGCCGGCTCGGGGTGCTCCAGCGGCGAGCCCAGATCGAAGCCGCACATGATCACGGATTTCGGTCTGTCACCGAAGAGGCTCAAACCAGAACTCCTAAAACTAAAATCTTATGGCATCTCCAGACACCTGCATAGCTGGATAGGTACATTCCTGTCAAACAGGCAACAAATGGTCAAAATAGGGAACATCTTATCAAATCCTGTACCTGTCAACAGTGGTGTCCGCCAAGACAGCTCTCTTTATACTTTACATGAATGACCCCTGTGATCATATTAAGAGCAACTGTGTTCTTTTTGCCGATGATGTAAAATTATTCAACACCATTGACAATACTGCTACCCTTCAAAAAGATCTTGACTGTGTATCAGAATGGTCAAACAAATGGCAACTTCAAATCTCAACAAACAAATGCTCTTTCCTATATATCAGCAAAAAAAATCAGAAAATAAAATACAAGCTGAATAATCAAGACCTTGTTGATGACCCCAACTTTGTCAAGGACCTTGAAGTACTCATCTCTAATGATCTAAGTGCTAGAACCCACTGTAACTACATAACCAAAAAGGCATTAAGAGTTGTTAACCTAATCCTGCATAGCTTTTTCTCCAGTAATATCACACTACTAACTAGAGCATACAAAACATTTGCTAGATCAATACTTGAATAGAGCTCATAGTCTGGAATCCGCATTACATATCAGATATTAATACAGTCGAGAAAGTCCAGAAATATTTC